TTAATAATTATTGGGAAAATGTAGATCTTATTTAAAATTAGTTATATAGTGATTAGTGATGACTAGATGTTAATATATTTATAGCTAACCATGTGTTCATTCACAAAGCTCTAAACATCAACAACAACAAAAATAACAAAACAAAACAAAAAAAAACTTTCAGGCATCATTGAAGATAATGGACCATTGGTGGTAGCACCACTTTTAGACACTACAGCAAGCTATTTGAGGTTGAAAATATTCTCAAGTTATTTTATAAAATGTCACATACAATATATGAAAAATTGACTATCCATATGGGAGAAAAGAGTCTCAGGCTACATACTTATACATTTATGCAGCATGCATGGGGGTCTCATTTTTGTAATTTTGAAATGTACAAGCAGGAAGGGTAGCTAAGTCTAGTAAGACAGGAGGCAAATGTCATATAAAATAAGAGATTTATTTTTCTGTTTTTTTCCTTTGTAACAGGAATTATGTAAAAAGGATAAGTGCTTTCTACTTTAGCATTTCAATGAGACACTGATTCCTAATTATAATCTCAATTTAATGCTGCAATTGTTACAATTTCAAGAGACAGTAACAGGTGAAACAAATAGTTGTACCAACAACTATTTTTCAGATGCTTAAGAATTCATAGCTTTAGCAATGAGACCAGTTTTAACAGCTTAAACTTACTTTATATAGGTCAAGAAGTACAAAGGAAAGGGTTTATAAATGAAGCATTTTCTAATAAGCATGGATGTTACTGGCATGTGCTCCATTTTTGCTTTGTTTTAGATTTTTTTTTTTTTTTTTGCTTTACAATGAGCATCATAATTGTGCCGTTTTATGGGCATTAAGAACAGTATTTTGGTATATGTACAAGTTATATAAAGATTACATAATAGTATTACCATATCCAACACCTAAAGCTTAATTATTTCTTTTTGGCAAGTTGTGTTCTATATAGCAGAATTTATTTACTATTAAAATTTCTGAATGGTAGCTGTAATTTTGAGTCTTTTGACCAATTTTGCCATCATTCTCCCAAGACTGGTAACCAATACAGTATCCTATTTCTACTCTGAGATCACCTTGAGCATCATCTTCTTTTATGCCATGGGAATTGGCTTTAAGTATCTTGTAAAACAAGACTGTGGACAAAGAAAAAGCTAATAGTTGAACATAAAGTTAGAGCATTGGAGATGACTTTGGAGATCATCTTGTTCAAAATAATGAGGAAATAGGCATAATTATAGTATGACACAGTCTGAGGGTAAGGTGATTATCATCACAACTAAAAACACCTCCAGAATAATTTCCCTTGTACTATAGCATAAAAATGTACCAACCTTCAAAATAGAAGAAAAGGGAAGGGGTGGGGGGGAGGAAAAGGACGACAAAGAAAGGAAATGTAGAAAGGACAGAACATTGATTTTCAGTTTCTTTTTATACATTATCAGGTAGATGAGAAAGCCTTTTGACATTTAAACTCAGGGTAGATATTGAAGTTCAGGCAAGAAATTACCAAACTAATTTTTTAGAGTTCTCACCTCACAGGTTCAAGTAAGAATCATGTGGGTGGCTAGCCATCCCATTTCTCTAATATCCTGGCAAGATGCTAAGAATATCAATGAATCTCATTCTCTGAATTTAACCTCAATCATTCTCTTGGTTTGACCACTGGCATCAACAATGGTTTCTGAAGGCCACCTCTACATCCAGTGTCTGAGGTGAGGTGCTACCTGGCTCTAGATCACAGTTGTTGACTGTATACCACTTTGAACAGCACCTGAACAACGAAAACAAGCATTTTAACAATTTTTGTGATTCAGAAAATAAAATTTCTGAAAAACAATTTACTTTTCAACTCCACAAGAATTCCCACGAGAAAATAAAATATAGGTAGCTTTGCTTACAGAGTTACAGTAAAAGCCCACATTTGGAAAACTACAAAAAAAAAAAAAAATAGATTTTGTTTGCTACTCAGTGATCCTGTAGAGTAGTGGATGCATGGTCTATGGAGACACTGGGAACTTAGCTAGAAGTTATTTTTTTTCCTGTAAACTTTACAGAGAAATGAAGAAATAGCTATAGGCCAATCTAGTGTGGTGTGATGGCTGGCATTATGACTCAGCTGGGTTTAGATTTCTTCCCCATTTTTATTTTGCTTCTTTGTCAACCAACTGTGAGCTCAGTTATTCTCTTTAATGTCTTAGATCAAGTGAGTTCTGACTATGCACGGTGGAAGCTCACTACTGTAGAAATGCCTGTCCTTTTGTATTTGCAGTTTGCTTTTTAAAATATATGGGTATTGTACTTGCATACCTGGTGCCTCTGGAGGTCAAAAGTGGTATTGGATGTGGGTGCTGGGAATCAAAATGAGGTCCTCTGTAAGAGCAGCCAGTGCTCTTGACCAATGATCCACCTCTGTGGTCCATGATCTTTTGTACTTTGAAGAACTTTTAATTGTGGTTTATCTCAGTGACCCACCATAACCTCTAGGGACTAAATGTAGCGATAATTAGCATGTCTTTACTTTGTAAGTGTAGATCAGGATCCACAAACCTCAAAGGACTGACCTGAGGCCATGGCACTCCTTGCAGGAGGATTAACTTCTCATAGGAGAAATTAGCTAAGATATGTTAAGGTGGGAAGATGGTGCAGTAGGTAAAGGCTTGCTGCACAAAATTGAGGACTTAGTTTTGGATCCCAGGACCCGTGTCCAAGCCATACCCATGTCTGCAGGCATTAGAATGGAGAAGTGGCAGAGGACAGGACAAGCATACAGGCTAGCCGATCTAGCCTAAAGGTTAAGCTGCAAATTCAGTGACAGGATGTGCCTCAAGAAAGAAGGTGGGAAGTGACTGAGGAAGACATAAATGTTGACTTTTGGCCTCTAAACAACATACAGGGAATGTATCTGCACACATGTGCATATAGTACACATATACATACCATGAAGAAGTAGCATATGTGACACTCTGTTCCTACTTACTCATTAGTAAATGGAACTTAAAGGGAGATGAGCCTGTCTGTACTAGTTAGAGAGAATTATTAGAGAGAAAAGAGTATTGAGACAAGTATAACAAGTTAATTGCTATTGATGACCCTATCTTACTCTTTGGTTAAGAAACCTGCTGCTATTATATCATTACAATCATAAAGAGCAACCCAGCAACAAATTACTAGAAAAGAAATTGTATGAAGAGTATAGACTATTTTAACAGTTCCAGCAGGTAATAGAGTTCAGCATGGCAGTCTTCTCCTGAGTCACTTGGCCTGCCAAACGCGATTGACAAAATGAGGTTTTGTGGTTGGGCCCAGGCTGGCTTCCACAGCTATCATTTTGAGAGGATCACCAGGATCTGACTAAATTAAACATGTAAAGACCTTTTCCAAGGTATTCTGAACAAATGCCAAGACACTTGAAAATGTCTGATTGGTATTAAAAATAAAAGTAATCAACTCTTTAGCTAGCATTCAGAATAAAAGAATCATAGAATGCAAGTAAAGCATTTAAGAATTCAATGCTACATTTAATAAGAAAATGTAGCAGTCCTTTATGCTACAGCCCTTTGCCTCATCGTTTTTTCCCATTTACTCTCTTTCACGTACACACTTTCTCTTCTAATACTATTGCCCTCTGACCCCATTCTGTTTTTCTCTCTGGTCTTGGTCCTTTGCTTTCTCAATAATATACTAATTCTCAAACACTAAGACCTTTTTTCTTTTTTTTAAACCCTTCCTTATGAATATTAAAACGATGTGGCTTTTTTTTTTTTTTTGCCAGATTCAGAATCTCTATGATGTTACTAATTAATGATAAATTTATTTGTAGATTACTGGAGGGGTTATTAGGTATTTGGTTTCCAGATTGTTTAAATTGTACCAGAAAATATTTTATAAAAAGTGATATACATCTTCCCATACTAGGTTCATTATGTACATGAGTGCTATTGTTTTTTTTCCTTTCTACTTCAATCTCCTTATGAATAATATTTAACAATTAACGCATAATAAGAGCTTTAGAAATATTGTGTTACATTTTATAAAATTTCTGCAAGGAGGAATTCCCACTACTATTATAACATGAGGTTTTACTGTGATTCCTTTCCAATTTAAACTGGGTCTTTGCTAGTGTACAATATCTCTGTAAAAAGTAATTAGCACTATTTTTCCCCACCTGCCATTTGTAATTACATAGAGGTTATGAATATCTCACCTGTTCATGATACCTAAATACTTATAATTGTTTCTATAACTATTCAACGCAAGGTAAAATTAAAACTTAACTTTATTTTATTTTTTTAATGATGTTTCACTATGACAAATTCAGATGGCTGCACATTTAGTAAACCTAAATATTAAAACAAGCAAAACAAACAAAAGAACACCACTTAATTCTTATGTTTTGCACTGAAAACTAGTCTCTCTTGTCAGGCCTTTAAGAGAAAGAATGCATGCTGCATTTATAAGACCATGGTGAGACTAACTGTGGCAAACATCAAACATGAATTGCTATTTCATTTAGGTCTTCCCAGAGGGGCTCAGAGGTAACAACTAATTAGTTTTCATGTTTGTGTTATAGTTATCTCTCCTCGATTCTTTATAGCAACAAAAACATTACAAAAAATGCTTATTTCAATTTATAAAATATCCCCATGCACTGAGGGAGCCCATTCCACATAGAGGAATATGTTCTCAGCCTAGACACATGGAGGTGGGCTTCAGTAGACAATATCCTAATCATGTCTCCCCCCTCAGAACCCATGTCAATCCATTTCCAAATTTCATTTTCTCTTCTTTATTAATTAATTAATTTATTTATTTATTGTTAACCCACTAGGTAGAATTAATGCAACCCAGATGTACAAGGCTGTGGGTATCATCCTCTGGGGAATTTATTAGTGGCCACAACAATAGTAAAGGTACTGTACTAAAGAGCATTTAACAGACATTACTGAGGCTAGTAGCTGCAGCTTATCTCCATATTTGCCTAATCACCAAACACTTACCTGGATAATACCGGGCCAGTCCAGTGGCACTGCCGAACACCTGCCACAGCAATGTTGGGTCTTCATCTCGATTTCTTTTGAAAACTTCATCTAAGGCACTTGTCCAGTTGAGTTCATTTAACACTATGGTTGCTAACATGAACAAGAAAAAAATAATAAATTTATTCAACTGTACATTAGTATTTTTTTCTAACTCATATTACATGTTCTTACTGTCTGCTATAAAATACTATAATTATACTGGAAATTGAAAGGTTTTAAGCATAGAGCTAGGTTTTCAGTAGTCCGATTTATAATGAGTAACAATCCATAAATCCCACATATTGTACAATGTTCAGTAGCATCCTATCTATTAAGTGATAGTACCATGCCCCCCCCCAAACTGTGGAAAGAAAAAGTGATTTCATATGTCCTTAAACATTTCTTTGGTATTAAATTACTCTCAGGTACAAAGTACCAAGAGCTCCCTAGACACATAAAGAAAAGAAAGTTGGTTAATATTTCTTGGCTGTCTCCGAGGTGTCTACAATAGAGTTTAACAGTGTAACCCTCAAATTCTACTGATTCTCTGTTGTATACCCATGTAAATTACCTGGGTACCAGACTTAAAAAAAAAAAAAAAACAACAAACACATGGTTATCATTTAGCACCTTTATCAGCTGTGCTTACACAACACTGGAAACATATATACTGTTTGGTAGAGGAATAATTTACTGGGACATTTGATAATGTCAATGTTAGAAACTGGAGACTAGTGAGTCAATGCCTCATCAATACCATTTGGAGCAATAATTCATTTTTCCCTTCACTCAGTTAATAATAATTGGTAATAAGCACATGTAATTAACTTAGATACTGAATTATAACTACTTACAGACCTAGATAGGTAATCCAAATACATATCATTGACTAGTTTGGAAGAGTATCCAGAAAGATAATTCCAGATAGAACATAAGTCAAATAGTATTTAAATAATGTGACTCCATGATCATAACATCATAACATAACCACAGCATAGTTAAATTTCTCTGGGAGTCTGTGGTTGTAGCTGTATACAGTACCTTGCCTAGCTGTATACAAGGTCTTTGCCTTGATTTTCAGCATGATGGAAACTATGTGTGTTAGCACACACCTTTAGTCCCAGCATTTGTGCTGTGGATGTAAGAAGGTCATGAGTTTAAAGTTATTCTTACAGGCCAACCTGGGATATCTAAATCCTACCTAAAAAAATGACTAAAAGGAATATATTTTTTCCAATGCAAAAAAAGTAGTGTAGATAATTCATGTGTTTCCTGTCCTAGTGTGTAAAATATGAAGCAAGATTCCAGCAGATCAACAGAATGAGGCTGGGGTCATAACACATATGAGAATTGATACTTGAGCTTTAACTGGAAGACTATGCTTTAATTACATGTGTTCTCAAGATTAAAGTGATTCTGGATGATGCCAGTTCTTAATTCTTCTGAGCATGCACCTTTATAGCAATGAAGCTTCCTTTAATCACTGAGTTAGCTGTGCTCCAACTGCTTAATATTCTGGGCCATTAATTCATTCACCTCAAAGTATTTTCTAATTTCTGTAATTGTTTTCTCTTCTATTCTTTTCCATGACCAGAGGAAAGGCAATCATACTGAAGTAATATACAGGCTTTATGAAGCTAAAATGAAAAGAGTGCTTGCCTTTTCATGGGCTTTTTAACTTCTGTTCTTTTGTTCTATTCTGATTTGTTTTTAAAATCTTATTACGTTTTATTATTATCCTAGATGGCTGTTTATTTTCTAAGGAGAGAGTGACTAGGGGCGGATCCAGACAGGAGTGGAGGCACAGAGAAACCGAGAGCAGTAGAGAGAGGGAAATCAGAATCAGAATCTATTGTATGAAAAATATACCTATTTTCAATAAAAGAAATCAGAAATCCCCCTAATAAAAGGGACATGAACCTGTAAAAAAAGAAAGTTACATGGCATGTTTGTTCATTCATTAGTTTCTTTTTTATTTGTATTCTTTTTAAAGACAACAACAAGCACAAAGGAATTACAAAGCCACCTGGGACCAGAACCCTGATGTAGCTCTCATTATGGAAAACTGAGATTTTCATCTTTATGTATGTGATTACTCTCAGAAAGATCACGTGTGTGTGTGTGTGTGTGTGTGTGTGTGTGTGTGTGTGTGTGTGTGTGTGTGTGTGTGTGTGAATATTCATGAGCTGGGTCAGAACTATGGGACATCTGGAATATTGAAGAATTCATATTCAAAAGCATGAACCCATGAACACAAAGTGGCCAGTTATATGGAAATTTATATTCACATAGATAACCTGAACTGATACCATTCATGAATATTTAAGATATTATACAAATTATCACAGAGGAGGACATCATATTTTCCTTTGAACATTCATGACTTTTATAGTAATATTGTATAGAACAAATCATGATTTTAGTTAGGATCCATAAACACTTCATTAATGTCCAAACTTTTTAATTTCCTTGACCCTACTTTACAACAAGCAACAGAAAATAGGTAATAATTTTTGTTAAATTTTTACTGTTTTGATAGACTGCTATTTTTCTTGATTTTATTAAATACATTAACAATTATGATTTAATAGGGATGGGCACATCCTACAGTTTACAATTACACACTGAGCAAAACAGCTAATCTCTAACATATTGCTGTCCTTGTGGGAATGTGTTAAAATTCCCAGTTGATGCAGTTGAAAAATTTTCTAGATAAGACATAATAGAATTCTAACCATTTTAATCAAAATGTGTTCATCTACAAATGAGCAAAATATATAAAGTACATTTGGAAATGAGGCACTATTAAAGTTTACTCAGAATGAAGAAATGATAATATATACCGATCACGTTAGCAAGACATAAGCTTGGAATCCAGTATGTATCTTGGTGTCAGGATACGGGCATTATATATAAGGACTTCTACATACAGTGATAATTCTGTTAGTTCCAGTCTCGACTTGAATGTCTAATGCCAAAGTCAAAACACAAAGGTCAGTCACAGGAGTCTAGACCTAGTAATGCGCTCTTTGTTGTTGTTTATTTGTTTTTTTCCCACTCTTATGAGACAGTTTGAAAGTATTGTCACAATGGACACAGCCTTGGACTCCAATCTTTACCCAGAGATTTAAATATGGAGAGAACTGACCCACAGTCTTACCATTTCCCCAGATGCACCCTCCAAATTCCTTATGAAACAAAATCCTGAGAAAGTAAGAGAAATGACTACATTACAAGATTTTTTTTCCCTCAAATTTTACTGAAAATACCTAAAACATCAAAGCAACCAGGAAAGCAACCATGCATGTGATTTCAGAACCTTTGTTATTCAGCTATATTTTCTCTAAAACAGAGTATGAACTATTTTTGCTTAGTATATATTACTTAAAAACTGAAATTATCCAAATTTTCATTTGCAACTGATAAAGAATAGCACACCAATAATTACAAATGTCACACAGGTGTCCATCTGTATCTTGGGTGGACAATGCTGAGATGACTTCTGGGTCAATAGGGTGGACGATGCTGAGATGACTTCTAGGTCACTAGGGTAGACGATGCTGAGATGACTTCTGGGTCACTAGGGTGGATGTTGCTGAGATGACTTCTGGGTCACTAGGGTGAATGATGCTGAGATGACTTCTGGGTCACTAGAGTAGATGATGCTGAGATGACTTCTGGGTCACTAGGGTGGATGATGCTGATATGACTTCTAGGTCACTAGGGTGGATGATGCTGAGATGACTGCTGGGCCATTAGTAGAATCACAGAACTAAAGCTGAACATGAACCTTAAGAGAACCCTAACCCTCTTCTTGCTTCAGATCCTCCCTTCTACCTCCATTTAATTTCCATACAATCAACCAATCTATAGATCTTCCCCCCTTGAAATTTGTAGTTTAGTGAGGAAGATGCTGTTAAAGTAGCAATTGAGGTTACAAATGGGTAAAGATAGCATACTACAAAAGGTAAAAGTTTCTATATGGAAATGTATTTCATGCTGATTTTTGTGGCTACGTCCTTTCTAGTCTTGTGGCTATTGCTCTTTTGTATTTTCCTGACTTCATAAAATCAAATATATAAAGCATATCTATTTTATAATAGAAAAAACAAACAAACCCACATTCTTCAGAACATTATTCATCTTCAGGAATTATTTCTCCAGATGCTAAATATATTATTCATTTTGATAATAGCAGTATACTGAAAAGTATTTATAGAACTTAGTCTTACTAATTAATGTTCAAGGGATTATTAAAAAATATTTCTCTTACAATTATTCATTAAAGTCATCAAAATGCAATTGACAGCACTTATCACAATATTTCAATATTAAGGCATCAAAGTTCTTTAAATGAAGCTATTTATTTTGCATAGCTAAATACTATTCCATAATTACAAAGTAAATTATATTTTCAAAGTAAGTTCAAATATTTAAAAAAATATAAAGAGTGTGTGTTTGTGTGTGTGTGTAAATGTGAATGAGGTGTTCTAGGGGTAGAAGATATCAGATACTCATGAAGAGAAGTTACAAGGAGTTGTCAACCATGAGGTGTGGGTGTTGGTAACTGAATCCATTTCCTCTGCAGGAGCTGCATACTCTTCAATGTAGAGCCATTTCTCCAGATGGAGATGGTCAAGTCTTTCATGACTAACAATAAATCTATTTGTACAGATTAATTTTTAAATTTTCATTATATTTCTAACAGATTTTATCTAATTTGCTTGGCAATATTTTTAATTATGTTAATTTTATATTATTAATCATATGTCATAAATATTAACATATTACATCCAAATTGGCCCTACCTTTCCTCTGAATCCTAAAATTAATACAATTTTACAATCATACAAGCTTCTGGTCCCTTGCTCATGTTGACAATAAAAGTAAGGTTAGGTCTGATATTCTGTTAATTTCACAAATTGTGTATTTATCTGTTAGAAAATTATGCTTTGTACAAATTAAGCCCTTTATAGATGTTCAAGGCCAACTCAGATGACTGTGTAGAGGGCAGCCTTGACTTTAGGACCTCTGAATAGCATGACGAATTTCAGTGATAATTGATTCACAGTGCTAAACATCTATCCCTATTCTTCATGCTCTTGGTTTTT